TCAGCAGGTGCTCCCTGAGGGATGGCATGGGAGTGAGTAACGGGTGCGAGGGAGGAGTAAAACTTGGTATTTCAGACATGGGAGTTAGGCTGGCAAACCAGCCTGCCGGCAGCTGATGGGTGACTGTTCTCGGCAACGGGGGCTGTCCTGCAGCAGAGGAGTGTGCGTGTGTGTGTGCGCACGGCGTGACCCTCACCTGGGAACACTTGAGACATCTGATGGACGCGGGGCTTCACACCCTGGGTAGATCGTGGGCAGGGGGAATCTGAAAACGAGCAGGGAACTCCCCATATAGTAGAAGGCAACCTCTGCTAGCAGTAAAGCGTCAACCTCCAACAAGGACTAGAGAAGCAGTTGTGTTTGAGGAAGAGGATGGCAGGTTCGAAGGGTAAGCAAATGTCTAAAGTGAAGGGAGGCTGTGTGTTCACTGGGGTTCATTAGAAGCACAGAGGAGGAGGTGACAATGGTCGACTGGTGGTGTAAATGTTGCAAAGAGAGACAAAAAGGAGTTAGAGAGTGGCTTTGGGTGCAGCTGAAGATACCTGTGTCAGAGGGGAGTGACAGTAACTGGGCAAAGGGTGGGGAGGAAACTGGGTGGGCCAGCAGTGAGAGTGGGGGCAAGTGTGAGAAGATGGCGATGAGTGGGCAGGTGAAAACAGAAGGACTAAGAGGGAAGTCCAGCTTCCATAGACGTGATCCATGGGGGAGTGTGAGGAAGCGAGACCAGGAAGGTCCAGCAGAAGTGTTTCTGTAGGGGTGTCCAGGTTCCCTCATCCCTTTCTAGTAACATTTGGTGTGAGGGAGGGAAGGTAGAGAGGGGAAGGGGACTGTCTGAGCAAAGAGCAGGTTAGGGGAGGAAGCCAGAAGGTAGAGATCATGACAGTGTATGTGGGAGGCAGAAAAAGAGGTGGTAGAATGAGGGGCAACGCTGGGATGGAGAATGTGTGGACATGGGAGAGGGGTAATTGCAGAGATGGTGAGAACTGGAGAGTGGGAAAGACCGAAGAAAAGGGATTCAGCATAAATGGCTATATGGAGGAGGAGAAGGTTGGAAGGATGGAGAGGAAGCGAGAAAGGGAATGGATGCAACGCCAGATGTAAACAAGCTGCCTGCGAGGAGTGAGTGAGTTGTCCTAAGTCACCATCCTTGGGCGGGTGGTAAATGGGATAAAGAACTGGCAAAGTCCTGAGTACTTTTATGGTTCAGTTAAGCAGCAAAAGGGCAGAACAACAACAGTAATATGAATCAGGAATGTTGATAATCATCAGTAAGAGCAATCGTTTAAACAGATAAACATAGTGAATCAGTTATTCTACACTTCAGCTATTCAGAAAGGCAAATGTGGTTATTGATAAAGCTTGAACGCGTAGACTTGGGAAAGCAAATGTTACATCATTTTTCTGTGCAATTTGTATTTTGTGTTTGCAATATGTTTGTCAGAGTGAATTACTCAAAACAGTCTTTGCTGAAGCAACATGCACAAGAAATTCTTTGTAAATTAGTAAGCTCCCTGCATTAATAAAGTAGTTGTTCCGTGAACAGCAGTTCTAAAGGAGCCTGCTTTCCAGGGATTTGTGTCTCGCAGCCCAAGACATGGGTCTCCCTGACCTTCTGTCCCTGCAGTAACACAAATTCTCCGGCCTTTTGTGTTTCTTGCATGAAGAAGGAGACAGTGTAAGCTGTCCATGCTCACCAGATTGCCAGTTTGCAGGGATCGTGTAGCTCACCGCTCCCAACTGGGACGCGCAAGTGATTTCTCTTCTTTACCCTGCCTCTGATTAGTCGCAAAACTGATAGGAACTTAATTTTCCTGACGACCTTTGCCTCCTGATTGAAACTGGTTGAAAAGCTAAGTAAGGACGGACAGGCAGGCAGATGGATGTACAATATAATTGGATAACCTCTTTTCCCTAAGAAATGATACTAAAAATATGAAGCCATTCATAATGGAGAACTGGCAATCTATAGGGCCAGAATGCAAAGTTCAGGTTAAAATCTGATGAATGATACGGCTTATTGTCAGCCTCCAGAGATGGAACACACTAAAGAGTGATGGTAATTGAATTACATTACTTCCAATGAAATATAACCTCTAATGGCTACTCAGTGTGATGATGCTTTAAAGTCTTGTCAACACTAGCAATCCTAGTGCCTATATTTCAGCAACTGTCAGCTCTCGTAGAAACACTGAGATAAGCAGGCCTCAGAGCAGATTTTCCTGTAGAATGGACTGGACATATTTTAGTGACAGTGTTTTGCTTTTGGTTTTGGTCAAAAAAATGCGATGAATTGAAAATGAAGTTCTCTGGTGGGAATAAGTGTTGTAGTTTGAACCAGAAGCAAGGCACAATCCAGCACAGAATTATCTTTCTGGCGAGAGAGAAGATCAGTTTGACTGAAATTAGTTTCGAGGCTGATACGTGATAGACTGAGGTTCAAGTTTTTCATCTGAATTAAGCAGAGCGGTCACTTGAGTTGAACAGTTCTGTGGCACAAGCAAGTTGTCCTTGTGCTGCCTGGGCCGGGAGGTGGGTCCCTCCGTCTTGGTTTCTTCACTCAGGGCTGTGAATAGCACCGGCTTTGTCATGGAGCAGGTACACTTACAAGGCTGTGAATGTGCTTTGTAAGGTGGGTAAATTGTTTCCCATGCACAACTGAATAGCAACCTAAGAAATATCTGGTCCTGCTCTACATCAGCGTTGTGGATCTAAGCAGGTGGGTTTCTGCAGGCGTGCAGTACTGCAGCACTTGATACTGCCGCGATAGGTGCCCTGTGTCTATGACACTATCATAATTATACTCAGATTACTGCATGAAAAATGTATTAGGTGTGAATCAAATCAGTGACCTAAAAGGCTTCTATCCTTCTATATTTGTGTTTGAAACATTTGGCACAGGAGGATTTTTCCCAGCGTATTTGTGGTGCCACTGGAGATGGGACATATGGCGAAGCGGAGCAGCCAGGATGGGTGATTGCTGCCAATTTTCATGAAAGGCAACAGGAAAGGCAGTTTCAGTGTATCTTGATCCAGACATGTTCCTCTTGGCCTTCTCAAAGTGCTGCTTTCATCCTAGGTTAGCTGCCTGACAAACCCTTCCCAACTTGCCGCAGTTACAGGGAGCGGTTCCTACTGCATCCACTGGTGAAAAGGGCACAGCGACTCTCACGCTGCTCTCGGGCAGCAACGTATCACGTAGGTTGGCTGTTCTCAAGTTCCTCCTCACCCCAAGGATTTAGCCAGGGAAAGCTGAAGATACATGGATGTGGTACTGCAGAGAAGCCAGTGGTAGCTAGGTAGCGATGACTCGGAGGCTGGTTAGTGACGGCAGCTTTCCCTCCCGTCTCGCTGTGTCCCTGCGCTCCCTTTCCCTTGCCTTCCCCTTGCAGCCTGCAGCTCTGACTCATCATGTTTCACATCAGCTACTGTGCTTGGCACTGGAGAGGAGGAGAAATCCAAACTGCAGATAGGACCCAAAGGGTGTTAAGACGAGACACAAAGACCTTTTTCCTTCCTGAGTGCCAAACGGCTCTTGCCAACACCTCTGGCAAGAGCGTTAGCAAATGTATCTTAGCTGTGCTCCTCGGTGCTATGCGGTGGAGCGAGGGAGGTCTTTCCGATCAGTCCCATGACTTTCCTGCCTTCGTGGGCTGTCCCCACCCTCACGCTGCCCTGCACCGCTGCCCTTGGGAATATCGACAGTTGGCAGCCACACAGCAAGCAGTGGTGGGCACCCACACCACGGGGTGCCCATCGTTCACACCGCAGGCTGTCCTCTGAGGCAGTCCTGTCCAACCTCCAGCACAGCAGGACCACGGACACCCTCGCCTCAGCTGCCCTCGCTGTCCTGGGCTCTCCCGCAGTAGCGAACTGCGCTGCGTCCCACTGTTGGCATCCCTGCCCCACCGATCTCCCATGGACACAGAGCTGCCCTGCTCCTCAGACTAGATATCAGGAAAAAATTGTTTACGACGAGGGTGGTAAGGCACTGGCACATGTTGCCCAGAGAGGTGGTAGAAGCCCCATCCCTGGAAACAGTCAAGGTCAGGTTGGATGGGGCTCTGAGCAACCTGGTGAAGTTGAAGATGTCCCTGCCCATGGCAGGGGGGTTGGAACAGATGACCTTTAAAGGTCCCTGCCAACCAAAACTATTCCGTTATTCCATGAAATGCTGGTGCCTCCATTGCTTCTCCTGTCCTTGGCAGGTGGCCAAAGGCAACTCAGGTTGGATGCTCAGGAGGATAACTGGGAGTTGGAAGATCTGGAGCAGCTACAAGGGGAGCTGTGCAGGGGGGAGGAGGAAGGCAGGAGGGGAGATGGCGGAGTTGTTGGGGAAGGGGTGAGGGCTAGGAGTGCTTGGAAGTTGTCGGGGGAGAGAGAGAGAGGCTTCAGGTGCCCACAGAGCAACTGGGGCAGAGCTGAAGAGCCCAGACAGGAGCCAGGGAGGGAGGCTCCTCACCTCTGCCTTTCAGACTTACAG